AAAAAAAATATTTCTCTAAACCTACGTATCTTCGAATGGTATGCGGTCGTATGATCATTGTAATCATGTAAATAACGCGTTATTCAATTGTGGTTTCCTTTAAGATGATGAGGAAGGTATAAACGGTTGCATTCAAGCGTTGCGCCGTTGAGGAGCAGCACACAGTGTTGCCATGTCTTAAATTTTTAGTTCTCCCGATTTTCCTTAGATGTAGATTTAGACGGTGTGGGTTAAATTGCTGTCGGATAAATTTACATTTTTTCCTAGATTTAAGGGAGATTTCTATATCAATGGCAACACTGTAGCAACATTTGCTGATACCGTACGTTCAAGCATTCTTCACACGGACATATTTCACAACGTTCGCTGGACTTGCCAGCTTGCCTCTACCGAAGAAGTGCAACACTTGGTCCGACCTACGCTATAACAGTACCAACGGTTCTATAATATGGTGTTATATTGGTTTGAATAAAACAATCTTTCTCAATGACCAAATTATATTTAATTATTTTTTACAATGTTTAAAAAGTCTAAAACCTATCCTCCGTGACTCTTTCTAGGTTAACCTATATGTTTTAAATATCTGAGGTAAAAGCATAAGTACTAAGCATCACTAAGTAAATTAAACACATCCAAAGCAATCGAGTCAAATATAAAATATTATTAAAAATTAAAAGAAATAATTTTTATAACCATTAATGTTGGTGTTACAAAAATTGATTCTATCCTCCGTGAATCTGTTTTTGCTTTAAATTTTATGCAACCGATGGCGCTTTAATCATTTTAAATAAGCAAAAACCTCTGTTTACGACATTATAGATGCATGGGATTCCTGAAGGTCAGTTAGAATTTATATGCAGATGAGAGTGTTGCTGTTTTATAATTCAAGTTTAAGTTCATTAATTTACTATTTAAAAACATAATTTTTTTATAAATATTTTATGTATGTACAATTTTTTTAAAATATTAAGGTGTCAAAAGATACAATAACTTATTTCAAATATACAAAGGGATGTTTAAAAAAAAACACGAAATCATAACCTCCGTGAAGCTCTAATATTCAAAATGTTTGATTTCTTAAAATTCTTGCATTAGTGCAGAACCACTTATGTTATGTTATTACTAGACCGGGTGGCTTCCCAAAAACCCCATTCTAGACTAACAGTGAAAAAACCAAAAATAAAAAATAATCATTTTCACTTGGCGGACATCTCCATATATTCACCCATTTGGAAAACTATTCAATGTATCAAACTTAAAATTTGTACACAATAGTTTTTAAGGACAAGAAATACAATTTGTCATAATTTTTTATGCTGCTCCTAGAGGGCGCTAATGACACATGTCGAATTGAGTGAATTAATACTCTTTTATCTACGCCAGTGAAATAAGAAGTTCATTAACGCACGCGTTTTTCTCTGCTTTTAACCAATCAAATAAAAAAGTCAAAATGTCAAAATGTCAAAATAACCCTAAATTAAGTCTTAGACAAAAATAATTACCCTTTATTTTTTCATTTAGAGGCGTAGATATAAATTTGTACAATATACATGTGCTACGCACTCGTTGGGCAAATTTCGCATGCGTACGTTAATAAAGCTCTTATCCCACTTATATCGTAAATAACTATTACCCCTTACATAATATAATAAAATTTTTATGCGAAATAATTAAATAACCATTATTTTTAAATGAAAAATGTTTACTTGTTTGATATCAATATTTTAAGGCGTTATCGAGATATTTCCTTTTAAATATTGCGATGCCTATTATATTCGCCAGCAATTTGCGTATTACGTAAGGCAATTTTTGGAGATTTAAGATAAGATAAGAATAAGAACCGCGTATACGACTAAATTTTTTTAAATCTGATGATTGTATTTTAGATTTTAGAACATGCAGAACTTTTTATGAAGAATAACTTTTTTCTTAAAATTAATAATAAAAAAGTTTCCCATATTATGACTTAAGTGGACACACTGTATATATATTAGGGTGATTAAAAAAATCGAATATAGTATAATATATCTTAATATTAATAGGAAGATCATCCTCATCAGTTTTCCATTTTTTCTTTAATTCCTTATAAAAAGACCATATTTAATTAATTAATATCAATCGTGGAAGTATCATCCTCCATTTTCCGAACAGGTCCAACGCTTAATTTCAAGTTTATATGTCGTAACACCAGATCGAATTTAAATAATAATTGTTTTCTATGGGACAGGCGTTTCTACTTATCATAATGCCATACAAATGTTATCTACCGCCTAACAGCTTTCTAGATATATGGTCAATAAAATTGGTGAATAAATTTGGTCGATAGGCTAGGATTATTTGAATAAAAGTGTTCAATACGTACATAATACATATACATATGATTGTGTTAACATTTTTTAAATTCCTAATTGTCAGGTTTGACCAAATAAAATTTGAGCCCTAAAAGTTTTTTCAAATAAAACAATATGCCTGTTCTTCTCGTTATTTTAAATTAACTATAGCTTTTAGCCACATCTTAATTAAGACTAGACATATGAGCATTTTCGAGCAAGATAGACATAATATACATTTTACTTAATGAAGTAAAGAGTTGGAAGAGACCAAATAGCAATTTACAAAACCGTATTTAATTTTAATTTTATGTCGCTCTTATTTGCATATTAAATGGACCGGATATTTTCGTATGTCCAGTTGATGTTTCCATTATATTCTGTTACCGAAATTTGTGTTAATATAATTTTTTACATGCATTCTGAATTATTTATCTAAAGTATTAAGTAACTTTAACTGTATTATGTTAAAAAAAATATTTTTTAACAATTTTTAAAACACATTTTATCTTTTAAAAGGGATCTCATCACAAATATTTTTTTCTACTCCTACCTTTAAAACGCCCTTTATCGTACATGTTTCCATGACACTAAGTGACCTTTTAAATACACATTGACAAGTTGTGGCTTTATGGCTCTTTAGTCACGGGCTGAAGTTAGCAACAGGTTTTTAGTCACGGGCTGAAGTTAGTTTTAAGTTAGTTGACAGTTGTCAAATGTCATACAATCGTTAAAATAAAGTGCCTTTCTTGTAAAATAATACTAAATGTGAAAATTATTTTATTATCTCAATACAAAAAACAAAAGTATTAAATAGTTTCTCAACGCCAATATTTGAAAAGTTTATATGAACATTGTACTGACCTTTCAATTTCGCCGGCAGTAAACTATAACTTAAATTCGGACACGGACTACACTGTAAAGTGCTCATAAAACATTTTCTTTACTTTCACTGTGAAAAACTGTCAATTTTCAAGAAATACATTTCGATTTATGACCTTTATAATCTGTTTATAAAATGTAAAAATGTGACATTTGACGGTGACACACAGATTCCCCTATTGTTTCATAGATGGCGCTCTATACAAATTTTTGATTTAAATTATTTTAAGATAATAATAAGTACCTATTTGTCGTAGAAAAAGTATATAAACTTATCTATACACTCATCAATTTAAGCACTCGCTCGCAAGCTCGCTCGTGCCTAAATTAAATTCGTGTATAAAATGGCTTTTATCAAACTTGATACATAATATACTATTAATGTGTTTTAAACTGATCCGTTATTTAAAAAAATAAAGTTTTTGAAATTGTCAATTTAATATCCATAATTTTTGTTTAAAACCAAAAATATAAACCAATTAAGATAGAGGTTTATTTAAATGCAGTTTCGTTTAACCCTACCCAAATGACGATACTTTTTAATTTTAATGGCATAAGTCGACAATAAATAGATATACAGCAATGGACAAGACATATTTTTGTAGGAAATTTCCCGCTCTACAAAAAAGGTATTTTACGTTTTTTTCGCAAAACCACCCATTAAAATGATACCGGAGGTCAAAGTTTGATACAAATAAAATGTTAAAATTTTTAATCTTGCAACTGTTTTCGTTCGGGCCCAAATGAGGCATGCAAAATTAAGATGCCAGTGAGAGATAAAAAAACATAAAAATCAAGATATCCCAATGAACGTGTCTTAACTTTCTACGATAAGAGATTTAATGTACAAAATTTATAGAGGCATGATATTAATAAAAATTTACGAGACATCGTAAAGAAAGCATGTTATATTTAAATACCCAGAGCACATGCTATGGTCGTTTAATTTATTTATACCTACATTTCTGCAAATAAGAAAAAGTTTACATAATTTTAATTGCTTTATTTACCTACCGTACCCATTCCATCTGCTATAGGTATTCGTTGGAAAATAAAAAGATTTTAATTATGGTTAACAAATATTGATACAAAAATGAACAATGAGTACCTAGGTACCTAGGTATAGAAAATTCATCCTTACCTAGACCATATTTCTAAATGACTGAAAGTGTTTTTGTGTCGGTTTTTCGTATCATTTTCGAGCCATATTTTCTTATTTTTTTTACCTATATTGTAAAGGAATTTATCAACCATTAGTGGTGTCACTCATTAAAGATTATTTGTGAAAAGATTATGCAATTTTATTTTAAATTTCCATATACTTACCTACCTACCAAACTTTTGTAATTTTCGTGATATTTTTAAACTAATCTTCCATAATTACGCGAAATGTCATCCAAACTTTGCTGTAATGGTCCATACAACCTAACAACGCCCATTAAATAATAAAATTACCATATAAAATGTCGTTTTATTACCAGCACACATCTTGCATTACATGCGGGACCCTATTTGATACAATAACAATCATTTAAGCATTTTTATTAGACATAATTTCGGTAAAATTAAGCACAATTATATTTTAAATCAAAAGTAAAATCCAATAAAATTGTTTTCTGTTACCTACAGTTTAAAACGCAGCACTGCGTAAATATTGGTATGGGGGGCGTAGCTCAGATGGTAGAGCGCTCGCTTAGCATGCGAGAGGTACCGGGATCGATACCCGGCGCCTCCAAAAACTTTTTTTATAAAAATAAAAAATAAAGATACATTTTAATTAAAATTTTTTTAATTATTAACTTGTTCTGCCACTTCCTCGAGCACTTGTTCGGGGTTTATACCATAGTTTCTTACATCGTCTGAAAACTCGCAATAATCGGTGAAAAACGTTAAGAAATCGGTTTCTGCTTCTGTCAGTACTCTTGGCGGAGGTGGCAGTGGTTTTGGGGGGTTCAGGGGCGGAGACCGATTTTTTATTTCTACAAAAAAAATATTTTCATATTTTATACTGTAAGTATTTATTTTAGGTATAGGGATGCTGCAGCATTTCAATAGAAAACATTATTTTTGACAAAAAATTAATATCTCAAATATAAAAATCAAATTTTAATATTTCTAGAATTTTACGTACCTAAAATTTAAAAATGCAATAATATTTACAGATAGATAGATAGACTGCATATTGGGAAGAACCATTTTAATTGTATTTTTGAATAAGACTGATTGCCCTATCGGCAGTATCATTATCAACTCTCATGTAACAATGTTTTTACCATACAATTGTATATTTCATATTAATTAAAACTTACTCCAACCTCTCCCATAACATATAAATGAATCGGTGAGATTAAGAACAGTACAAGTCCAAAAGTAAAAAGTTTTGATAAAATATTTTAAAAAATCAGTTTTATAGTTCTAAATGCATTTTTGCGGAAATATTCGAAATATTTTATAAAATATAATATTTAAATTCTGTCAAATAATTTATATCTTCTCAAAAAATGTATTTTAAACTTTAAAATTGATTTTAAAAAATGACTTGCCAAAATTAAATTTTTGTACTGTTCTTATTCTCACCGATTCAAATGTTATGGAAGGTTAATTTCAGCCAGTGAGATTTAAGGGTATTGCGACGCATTAATAATTTAAAACCTCGTCCAGGGTCCTCGACCTGTTCTTATGTGTACAAAGAAAGAGCATGATTACGAACTTGAAAGCAATAGACCCTTCAGTAAAAACGAGACTATTTCCCTACGTAGAACGTACTAAACAATTTTCCTTTGGCAAAAAGATTTCTTTCCACATCTTTAACCCAGATATGAAAAGCAACTGTTTGTAACGCATTAAATGATATGATGTTTTGAGTAGAACATGGAAAGGTATAAAAGTAATATACACTGTTCAACAATTGAACTGGATAATCATAATTATCCGGAAATTTTGTTGTTACTTCTTCAACACAAATATGAAGAAGTCTGAGTGCATTGAACACGTTTGGGACGAAATGGCCAATCTGGTAAAACATACATCAAGACTTTATTAATAATCATGAGTCTTTCATCTTTTACTTTAATTACACATTTCTTTAAATTTAATAAATGTCCTCTTGATTTCTTTCCTTGTATCATAACGCCGTCTAATATCCACTTCAAATGTTGAGCAGTGTTTTTAACACAAACATATAAACATAATACATAACAAATTTTGTTGATAACTTACGTCTTCCAGTTTTTCTAAATGGAGGCTCGAACGCTTTTTCAATGCTCAATGTCAGGCGCTCCAAAGACTGATACTGCTTTTTGGCATCCTCAGCTAGTTTAAGAATCTTTATTTGTTCCATGTATGCATTGCCTTCCAACTTGGCTACCTGCTCCACTGGCAGTTTATCCAACTGCAACAACTCGTCTCTAAAAATACATTTTAATAAATCTCTTTCTTCAGCTCATATGAAACACAAGTATTACCTGTATCTATTGACAATAGCTTGAATCATTTCACCCATACTAAGGTTAGCATCGTTCTGCGCTATCCTGGTTTCGTAAACGTCTTCAACGTACACATGAAGGTCTAGAAGGCTTTCATTTATAAGCAAGTCCTTGAAAGGTCCGTTTATCAACTCATGCGCTAACTCTTCCAGGTACTTGGCTCTCTCCTCTTCCCACCTAAAAGTAAATACCGTAATTTTCACCAAATAAAAATGCAATTCAGTACAATATTCCTCCTTCTAATTTGTCGATGGACTCTTCCAATGTCTGTATCTCCGAGTCGAATTCTATCCTTGCCTTTTCCATGCTGGCCTTTACGACCTCTATGGGCTCAGCCAACTCTTCAGAATGCAACAAGGAATTCAAGTTCTGCATTTCCATGAACAAAAATATCTCCATCAACTGATATGGGTCTGTAAAGTACAGTTTTGGTGCCTAAAATGTTTTTAATTAAGATAAAGTACAAAGACTACAATGATCAAATTGACTGATCAATTTTATAACCTTTTGATATTGACTTATCAAAAGAACCTGTAGGTCATATTTTACATTTACTTGAAGCAAGATGGATGGTGTTTGTAACATGTCTCGCTATTGTACTATCTAAATATAAATTAGAGAAAAAGTTACCTCTAAAGTTTCGTATTCCTTCATGAACCCATCCATAAGCTCATCAAGAGTCTTATCCTCAGTGGTATTGTATTTGTTGTAAATTTCCTTGACCGCATCGACTGTAATGAACTCCTTATCTTTATTTAAATTGGGATCGTTTTCTCTCCGCCAACTTATAGGGCTAATTAGGTACAAAAACTTCTGATACATTTGGCAGTTGCGCCATTTTTCCTCCAACCCGTATAGCACCGATCTCAACCCCGAATACTCCTTTGCCATCGCTTTGAACTCCTCGTACTTTTGGTTGCACAGCTTCGAAACCAAGTCAGCTTCGTGCAGCAGATTCATGGAAGCGGTGTGATCTCGAAAAAGGAACTCTTCGAAGACATTCACGTACTCCTGGTATCTTTCTTTAAGATCTTCGATTATCTTCTTTTCCGTCTTGATGTTGTCTTCGATAAGCATTATGTCGTCTTCGCGGTATCCTATCATTATCTTCATTTTCAACAGGTCTCTCATCACGTTTTTGTATCTCAGATAGTTGAACTTTTCCTTGTAAGGTCTGCCCTCTACCGCTTTAAAATACTCCGGGTCTACATCAACTATAGTTTTCATGTTGGTTACCACAGGCTCCTTTACGTATAATCTGAAAAGGAAATTTTTGAATTTTTTGAAAACTTAACCTTAGTTCAAAGATCATTTGGCCCAAGCTAGATTTGGTAGGACAGAGAAATCGAGTGTTGCCCAGCATATGGTCATAGAATAGGTTTGAAAACCTTAAATATAGAGAGATAACTTTAGTTTGTATAAATTAGTTTGGTAGTTTCTCTTTACGTGTTCACTGAAGCGATTACGGTCCACGGTTTTAGTAACTGTAAGTTCACGGTTCAGTCAACCTTAGTTTATACTTTATATAAATATGGTGGATTTAGCATTTAGATTTAGTTACACTTTGCTTCTGAAGATGTGTTCTGTTTTGGTGTTACCTGTTGAGCAAATCTTCATTTTGCCTGGACGTGTAGTTGGTCCTTTCGATAGCTTTCTTGTTTAACTCGTTTTTGATGACCTCGGCCCTCCAAGCCTTGGTCATGACCTTGTGGGCAAACATTTCCAAATCATTTGGATAGCTGAAAGGGCTGGGCTCTTTTTTGAAGTTCCTCTGGTTTTCTTCATTGACATGAGCAGCGGAGGTGAAATATCTTTTGATTATTTTCGTTTTGGGTTTCGGCGGTATCAGTTTCTTTTTGACCAAGTGAAATTTCGGCCTTTGGACTTGCTCGTTTCGCAAAACAGACTCATCTGTAACAGTGAGTCTTGTTACACCACTACCCTCGGACATTTCTTGTATAACACTGTATATTATTGACGTTTGGAAAAAAATTATTTGGTCAATAACTGGTTGCCATAGCTGAACTAAACACATTGTTAATTCAATATATTGACTATGTATACACTTTTTGGTAGGAATTATGTCCACATGTACTTGTACGGCAGAATCTAAATTAGTAATTTTATAACCAGCTTAACTGAAATTATAAGATTACAGTGCTGGCTGAAATCAGAGAGGAAATTGTTAGACGGGCAGATTTACGCTGTCTAAGCAATTTTGTTAGGGCAGAGAGCCCCTAAATCCACCTTAAGTAGATAATGTTGCCCGCCAGGGCTTATTCCTTTAAGCTTGTCTGTAGCCAGAAGCTAAGGAAATGGATGATGTTTAAATTGTTTAAACTATAACTGTACTTTCACTGTTTCCTCCAAATACATTTTTTAATTTAAACCACCAAATTGACATTTGTGGGTTTTATTCTAAAGAATTTATTTCCACGATTTTTCGACTGTAATTTTCCTCTTGGAAAATTCCGCTTCAAATTTAGTTGCCCAAGTTTAATCAATATGTATTAACTCGTTTAAACAGGTCTTTGTGATACAGTAATTGAGACACGATAAAGGAACTTTTGAGTGCTCTATAGAGAATATATTCAAAGTGATTCAGTTTGTTTATTTTTTCTTATTTGCACTTTCAATATTTTTTAAAGTGTTCCCACAGAAAACATTTTTTGATTTCCATGGTGGCGTCAAAATGGATTGAAAATAGCGCTTTTCAATGTACCATTCGACACATCTCATTTATGTTTGTTATATTGCGATATTTCTTATCATCATGGACACAATAGTGTTTGCTTGGAGCAATGTCAGACATCTAAAAAAATCTTTATATACAGAGTGTTATGAAATTAATGTAATATATTAATAGGGTTCATAAAGAAGCACCTGAATTTATTTTTTTAATTCTAAACACTAATAATAATAATAACCTTTATCCTAGCAAAAAGTACGCCACTGATTGACTAGGAACTTTGGCTAATCTGGTTGCCTAACTTAATTTATTATGTTATGGTTGGTAACAAGCAGCGTTTTCAGATTCTGTCAAAAAAAGTTGCCAGATTTTGTTTAAATTTAGCTTAATTACAAAATTGACAAAATAAAAATTAATTAATTAATTAATTAATTGTTGATTATGTCATTTTTGTAATGAAGGTAAATTCAAACAAAACTGGTATCTTTTATGGGAGAATCAAGTGCATTTCTTTCAAATTTGAGGTTATGTGCTCAAATTGTAAATATCTTAACTAAGGGTAAGCTTTTGTATTTATTTACACAAATTGAATGTTTAAAGTTTAACCTGTGAACTTGTCCTAATTTCATCTGAGTAAACAGAAAGAAAAAAACAGATGAAAAAATTGATTTTGTGATTGTGGAGTTTTTAAAATAGGTACTAAATTTTCGAATCATGGTTTAAGCTATTAGCTGGATGAGTAAATACATACAGAAGGGTATTAGAGCTTTAAGGGCACAAAACTTTTGTATTTCTTGAGTTTTTATTTATTTTTTGCAAGACAAATTTTTAGTAAAAATTCTTTACCCTGCACAAGCATAATATTTTATCGTTGAGTGAATTTGTGATTTTTTAGAATTTAACTAAGGAGTAAGTTCCATTTAGACAATTTTTATTTGATTGTATTGAAGTCTCTGGATAAAGCTACAAATTGGTTCTTGAAATTTGAAAATTGGCAAATTTTGTCTAAAAAAAAGTGTAGGTATAAATTTCAGTTCAATCAAGACCCATACCTACATAGCCAATGATTGAAAATATATATATGTAAGTAAACAGAATTGAATGAATTTGCAGCAAAAGATAAATTTCATTTTGTCGTCTACAAAACACTAGCAAAAAACGAGAACAAATCTCTTTGGACAACTCAGCACTTTGATAATCAGGGTGTCTGAGCATTATATTTCTAATTCAAAGACATCAAAGGGAGCCATGGATCCGGGAAACAATAGAGCAAAATTAAATTTTACGAAAAACTACTTTTTATTTTGTTTTAATGAAGATTGCAGTCGAAACAGTTTTTAATTGTGAAGCTTTACTTGAAGGATTTTATTCAACATGTACAATGTACATGTACATTGTACATGCATTTTCTGAAAAAAAATACAATATATGCATATATTATTATTTTTAAAAACATAACTAGTGTTGACAACGATAACGTGTAAATTATAGTATAGACCTATTGAAGATTGAAAATTGATTAAGCTTTTTTCAATAAATTCTATATTGAGGGGTCATAAAAATAATTATATGAGATAATAAAAAATACATTACCTGCATACATAAGTTGTCTCACAATTATATGTGTTCTATTAATCATTCTTGTGTTTTGAATAGATCTCAAATAATTATAAAAAATATATTTCCATCATCGAACAATATGAACCAATAAGAAAATACCCGCATATATTGCATGTATGATTGTGTTCTTTATCGAAAATCATTCTCATGTTTCATTGTGAATACCATATGGTTGACAATATAAAACAAATAGAAAAAAAATTTCTCTGGTTCAAGTGTATATATAATTGAAGAAAAATAGACTTAAGAAAGAAAGTTATTAATACAGGAGATAACTATACTCAGAAAAATGTACATGCACTGATAATGAAACTAATTTTGTAAGCGATAATATAGAAAATAAATAATATTGTTTTATTGGGACAAAAACCTACGATTTGTCAAAGTAATGAGATTATTTTTATTTACAGAATAAACTTTTTTTACTGTTAATAAAATTCAAATTTACTATAATGGAGCAGCAATGTTGAGCTTTTATAAAAAAAATGTTCATCCAACAAAGTAATTGTTGTTATCATATTGTCATGGCAATAAGAAATTCATTCAACTATAGATTTAACAAAATATTTTAAGTTCGACAAAGATTTAATATAAACATATTAAATCTTTGTCGAACTTAAAATATTTTGTTAAATCTATAGTTGTGTGTGAATTGCGCTTACATAAAGTAATGCGCAGTTGTTATAGTAAAATTTGTTCATTTTACTATGGCATATTTGTCTCTTTTAAATTACTATCGTTGTAATTAAAATTAATTTTATTTCAGTTAGAAAATCTTTGTTAATAGCTTACGTTAAGAACAATAACAAAAATATTTTATTGGTATAAAAATACTTTTTTAATGTTTACTATTGTTTTGCAACAAAATTTTTGTTATTTCCCTTAAAAAGAGGGGGAAAGGGCCAGCGCTCTCCTTGGTGAACATAACTATATTATAAATCCACAGTCTGTGTTATAATCTTATTGATTTCACTTGTGCGAGTGAAGTGTGGTAAAATGTAGCATGTAAAATTTACAAAATTTGTATGAATAATACCATTAGGGTTTCATTAATACTACAAAACGTTTTTGTAAACGGTATAGAACTGTTTTTTTGGACAAATAATAATAACTATATTTATCAATGCGTTTCTGAATCTGGAAGAGTGTTATTTTTATAAACATAACGTAAATTTACTTTATAATTAATGCAAATGCTATTACTGAAAGCAGCGTTTGTAGATAAATAATTTTTATAAAAATGATCTTTTTGCCATAACAAAAGCAATTGTTGGACGAATAGGGATCTTTACTTTATTAAGACAAACTACTTTTATTTGTTATATTTATTAAAAAAATTTCTGAGTGTAGTAGCAGGTTGACAAATGTATCAGAGCTTTATCAAAATTGTAGTCATCAGATTCTGTTACCGTTAGGTTAATTAAGGTTATTTCAAGAATTTAATTTAACTATAAATAAACCAAATATTTAACTAGTTAGTAATATTACATATAAGATAAAAAGTAGGTTATTTTAGAAGTTAGATAACGTTATATTAACTTCTAATTTTAACCTTTGAAAATGGTTTTTTAGACACACTTAATTAATTTGGTAAGCATCTATAGGTTTTATCACAGAAGTATTTTAAATCAATTTCAAACAATATAAAGAAAAAATAGGCAAAAAAATGTTTTTTTCCCTTGGAACTATCTCTTTAATACATATATAAATTGATATACATACATAAATGAATATTAATATTCAAGACAATTTTAAGGATCTGTAAGTCATATCTATGCTGTGCTACTTGGGTTGTTTTTATAATTTGCAACGACATTTGTAAGGTAATATAGTTTTTTTCTGCAAAAAAAGTTGTAAAACAACATATAAGGCTTGTGCGGTTTGAAGCACATAATCAAAATATGCACTTGCACATTAAAAGATGGATGATACAAAACCATGGAGGATAAAGGGTATAATAGAGGCTGGGCGCGCGCTCTGTATATTTAAATGGGGCCTTTTTATTGCACTCGTTAAAAGAGAAACTGGCTTGAAAGTACAGTGTCTAAAATAAAACGCGTCTTGAATGAACAAAGTGCCCCCAGCGGGTATTTCGCTTTGCCCGCGTACTTTTCGCTTTTTACCTTACCTTGCTGGTCGAATTAAAAACCTCATTATACTGCTGAATAACTTAGTTGACGTTTAACGGATCGCCCATCGGGCGAAATTAATTGGAAATATGTATTTTCGCGTATTTAAATCTGGTTATTGTAATTAATCATGGCAGTGGGACAGTTTCGCTTGTGTTTACGTACGCTAGATGATAGATTTTCATAGGCATAATAGGAAAACACAACAATGGAAAAGGACGACATTTCCATAATCCATAAGACTATGCGGCAAAATGGATGTATTTTTGGCATCAGCAAGGGTCAATCAAAATGATATTTTATCTATTATGCGTTCATAATGACTTCATTATAACACCGCTTTCGGTGCTGTAATGAGATACTTTATCCAACTCAAAATTTTGATTTTATAGGTTGGCTATACTTTAAACAGCATAATATTTTGCATATTGGTTATAATATTTTTATGATTTTTCTAGTACTTACGAGACTTTTCTGGCACCAAAGAAAATCCTTTTTTTCTTCTTTAACATTAACAGCCGCTCATTGTAAA